ACACTATATTGTCGAAATCATCGAATTAAAATTTTCCAAAAGCAAATTAAGCTGGTCAGCTTTTGAAGATGCAATACTGACCGTGGGTGCATCACATCTAGCTCTCACGGAAACCCTAGCTCTCTTCACATGGCCTTGTTGTGCAACCTGTTCATCTCCATTTCTTGTAGTCTTTTGAATCTTGCTCGGTGGCCATGTTTCACCTGCGTCATCTTCCTTTGGCTCTTCTGAACTATTTTGAGGGCTTGGATTGGACACAATCTCTGTAGACAGTTGAAATTTAGAGTCTAACCCAAGAGTTAAACCGGCCTTGATCTCTTGATCTTCTTTAGTTTTGCCAGAGCTGGCTGTTTTCTCATCTTTTTTGGAATTAGTTGGACTTCTTCCAAGTGAAAGAGAAACTAGTTCAGGTTCTGGAGCTTCATCATCATCAGAAGGAACTGAGTCTGTAGATTTCTTGATAGCTCCTTGCTGAAGGATTTCAAAGAAGCGCAATTGAAGAGACTTGTAATTCTCCTGGATCTGCTCTAACATCATCTTTAATCTTTCATTTTCTTCCTTCACCTCACCCATCTCAGCCTTTGCGGATTGAAGTTCATCCTCCTGATTAATATATTAATATTTGCATTAATTAACAAGCAGATTCTTTGATTTAATATTCATAATTGTCATATAGAAATTAAAGATTCATCCATTACACATTCAAACCAAAGCTTCATCTAATTTTCTACATGATAGTAATTGACCGCAACTACCCAGAAAGATTTTTAATGTTAAATTTTAGATGTGAAAATTAAATTCTGCGAAATGGTATTAAGAGAGAGAGAGAGAGAGAGAGGGATCAGCTATGTGCGTTATGTATCTAAAATTGTAAAGATGAGAGGTCAAGAATTAACATTTAATGTAAGAAGTAGGAAACAAGTATAGATTATCTACCTCTTTGACATCCACCAAGCCCTCATGGCTGGGTGATGACGAATTCAGGTCACTATTTTTGAGAAGTTTTCTTCCGATATCAGTCTAAAACACACAGAAGAAGAATCCATTAGCAAATTCTATAACACTTTCAGGAAGCAAAAGACCCTGACATCCAATTTTGTTCCTGTTAACACTTTTTGTGCAACAAAATTGCTACAGTCTCTTGAGATATTGCATTGATTGGTCATTATCAACGCTGTAGGAGAAATCGACACCAATAGATAACTGATCTTTACAAATGTTTTATGAAAATAAGAACAAATCACCAATTCTTAAAGGGTACCTTCCTGGCTTCTGGACTGCAGGCTTCTTCACAGACAACAGATTGAGCAGTCTTTTCTTGTTTGACAGCAGCATCTGCCCTTGGCATTTTCATCAACAAAACCTCCATTACATTTTAGGAGAATTTCCCTTCAGTCTTCCTAACCAACCATATATTTGCTGTATGAAAGCCTTTCCCTTCTTATAACACAACCAAAGAGTTGATTTGAACAAAATTCAAACTAATCCTAGTGGTCATCTATCAGCTCTTACATAGGAAAGCACAAAATGTCAACACCCCAATCACACTTCCATGAGTATTTTATTATCTTTAAAAAGGAAATTAGCAATAATAGCGAGTAAACTATTTTAGAAGAATTCAACGTCAACGTTTAACAGTTAAGACATAGAGATGATTTTGAAAAGAAGAGAGAGAGCTAAAATTGCGGCAAGTACCCCATTATTGTATATATATATCTTTGAAGCTTCGCTTAGACTAAGATTAAGAGGACGTCACATGGGCTAACAGTCAAAGTTTCTCTTAAGCTAGCCTGGGTTTTGGCCGGTGAGCTTTCATGGGAGGCGGGGGGGATCAGTTTCAACGGGTGCCATGGCCTTTGTTTCATTGTCAAGTATCCGGTCAATACGCTTGCTTCACACGGAGTGAGACTCTGCCGCATATGCCATTTGACCTTTTTGCTTTTCCGTTTTGTTTTTTACTTTGCTTTCCTAATAAACTAACTAGTTATGTATAGCAAGTTGATCCAGTTTTAGTTGTTACAGTTGGCTATTAATTAACTTGGTGCATGCCAGGACATGATTTTCACAACTCTCTAACTATAACTTGACCCCATATAATTTATTTCTTCTTAAAGTAGAGTGAAGAAAATTTCTTATCTACTAACAATATTTACATGTTTGTTCACTTCTGTCTCATAATTAATATCCATCATAACTCATAAAAATCGAGCCCAATCATGAATTGTAAGCATGATGGATAAAAAACTTTATGAAGGTAACCGACCCCCATTGATTACTCAAAGTTAATTTTTCTTCACATTTGTTGTCCTTTCTTAACATGCTTAAAGATCAACGTCCTAACCCTCTAATCTTCCGAAACTTTTTGATCATGTATATCAAAGAAAAAAAAATTCATAATATATATATATAGTTATTTGTAAAAGTGTTAATAGATCGAGTCAGGTTAATCTATCCTCACTTGACAACATAAAAATTTAAGTTTGACTCAAACTTAATCTAAAGCAATCCACTCATTTAAGTTAAGTTCATAATTAAAATATTTAAAAATATTTTACATTAATATTAGGGATTAGGGTCAAACTTTTTATTATAGTACTTTTGATCACTCAATATTTAATTTTGTCATTTTACTTTAAATTTCTTAATTTTTAGATAAAAAATAATAGAACTGAAATATTTATGAAATATATTTTGTTAATGTAAATGGTAAATTTTGCAATTGTACTTACAATTTTGTTGATTTTTTGGACAAAACAAATTACATAATTAGAATATTTCATAAAATTTCTTGTTAATGCAAATGGTAAACTTTCATCATTTATTTTTAAATATATTATCAGTATAATAAAATTTTCAAGTCAGGTGACCCAGACCTAAACATCATGTCCTAAGTTAACTCGAGTCAAGCTAAGTCCATGAACTCAGCTGTGGATGAGTCTAATTTTAAATTTGATATTTTTTTCTCAAAAAAAAATAAAGAAGAATATAAGTTAGAGAATTTGATTTCGGGGTTTTCAGATATGCATGTACCATCCATATATATATATATATATATATATATATATATATATATGTACGTATATATTCAATGTTTTGAATAACATTCCAAAACTTATAGCAAAGAGTAAATTTTGCTGACATAAGGATAGCACTGGGAAAACTCGTGTTTCTCATCTTTCTTTAGTGTTAAATTGTTAAAAACGTTTAAAACAACATTGGGTTGTTACGATTTACTACTTATTTTCACAATATTAAATTCTTCAAATGTACTCTACACACATATATACATATAATTATATATAATTATAAAGAAAAATTGTTGATTAATTTCGTCATGGATTGTTATATATCCTAAGTATTTTGATTCATGATTTTCCATACAATTTGATAATTTCAATATTTACGGCAACATGCAATAAGTACATCATCGGGATCTGAATTTTCTGCAACTTGTATTAATTATTGCCATCTGAAATTTGATCTCTGTACTCAATTCACGTCATCCATTTCAAATTAACTTAATAATAAGACTATGGTTGGATTATTAAATTCATCATGGCGTCAATGTGTTCCTTAATTTATAAGCTTGTATAACCTAGTTATTTTAACATATCTCAAACTAACTGCTATTATTTTAACATACATGATTTCTCGAGGCTTTATTATATGAAGTTGGCGATCTCAGTTAATTAAAAAAGCTTTGTTACCCCTTATCAGATAAAATATTTGGGTACTATTCACACCGTTATGAGTTGCGCTTAGGGCTGCCACACCCACACTCAACTATATAATATATACAAAAAATATTGTTACCTCCTAGTTTTTTTAGCCCATTAAGCTGATCATTTAATGGACCTTGACCTGTGGTTAGGAAATTCTACTGGTTTTAATACTTAAAATAATCTTTGTTTAGACAGAATTAGGAGATTAATTATAGGAATAATTTGGACCAGGGGTTTTAATTATAGAGTTTTACAAGTCAGTCATCCATGGGTTTCTCTCGTTCCAAATTCTTCTTTTTCATTTTGCTATGAAACAACCTTATCTTAGTTGCCTATAAATCTAATCGTCAATTGTCACACATAGAATTAATACATTATATAGTAGCCTCTTGCCTTTCAGAGACAAGGTTGTAAATGAAACGTTCAACAAGTCTCCGCACTTCTTTGCATTAAAATCAAAGAAATGATTGACCTCAACTTTAAATCTATATATTTATATATATATATATATATATATATATATATGCCACACACACACACACACATTATTTCTTCCTCCAAGACTCTTTTATTAAACTATTTTATTTTTTTTTTTTAAATTTATGCGAGATCAATGATGGGGGAGGAGGAGAAGGAGGATGGTGATCATCTTCATTTACATTAAGATTATGAACCCAAACGCCAAAAGATGTTTCGTTTTATACTTATTCCTAAGGGAAGATATTTGGCCAAGTTATAACTTCTTTATTCAACAGTTGAAGTTTGAACCAATAGGCTAGACGTTGAATTAAGTTTGAGTATGAGATTAGGATCAAATATATAATTATGCACTATTCTGACCAATGGAGTTGAATTCCCATCTTTTTAAGAAAATTTTTTTTTAAAAAAAAAAGAAGGAGTGCTACAACAGATTAAAGATAGAGTTAAGTAGATTTTACATGGAGTTTCCTCTCTCTTGAACAACTGATCAATGAATGTTAATTATCTTTAAACGAAGGCTTGACAACGGCAGCATCTTTTCACACTTGAAAAATGTTGTGTCATTTTCCATGCCGAGTTGTAGGAAGTTTACAGGTTATAAGTCACACAGGGTGGTTAGCCTCTTATATAGAAAAAAAGATTAATTGTCAAGCGCGCAGAAATTGCACAACCAGTTTCAGGAGAAATTTTTTTAAGGTAAGTACAAGTCAAATTCCAAAATTTTATTATTAAGCCTGCAAGAAAGAAAAGTAGAGCAATCCGAAATGAGGAATGGGTTTCAATGGTTGACAACAGATATCAATTCTGAGGAGCCCTAGGTAGAGGGATTCCATTGACAAAGGAATGGAACAGTGTGAGAGCTTGTGAAGGGGATGTGAAAGGAACCTCATGAGCTGCGCCCCTGACCGTAGCAAATGTCAGATATGTCACATAATTCTTCCCATCTTCCGGAGCACCAAATGATTGTGTCCATCCTCCTACCTGCAGTACCCATTTCCTTCTCAATTCCAAATTCAATTTCATTTCATTTCAATGAATCACTATAATAACTTTATTAATTAACGGGTATAGTATACTTCTCTCATTGTTAATCTAACTTAATATCCTCAAACTAATGATAATTATTTATAGTCACTGAATAGACAAATGAATATATAACTGGACAAATAGTACTGAGATTTGCCCATACAACTAAGTTTCTCGTTAAATAGACAGAAAAACAATAATTGGCAGGTCACATACTCCTTCTCAAAGATGTCTTAATAGGACTCAAGAACAAGAGAAGTCCTTGAGCCAAAGGCCCATATCTATGGACCAAATGGGGCTGGACAAGATTGAAATGAACTATAGAGATGTGGAGTAGGATATACCTGCTTATTGTCATACCAAGTGCCATATTCTGTAAGGGGAACGAGTTTCAAATCCTCTGCAATGTTATTAGCAATTATCCGTGTCTGAGTAAGAGGGATTTTTGCATCTTGGTCACCACTATTTGATCAAAAAAACCACTCAAATTATTAAATATGAAGTAGCAGCAAAAATTGAGCATACGATAAAATGAAACTTCCAACTCTGGAAAGTGTTGAATACATACTTATATAACAAGACGGGAAATCCCTCCTTGATAAGATCTGACACAAGAGGTATGAGGTTCATGTCTAAGTTGTCTTCTTGGTAGACAAGAGGCCTGCAAAACTCTTATTTTATTATTTGAACCAAAGCAAATAAATAAAAATATGGTAATGTATTGTCCAAACTTCGAAGTGACTAGAATCTATAAAGAAAAATATAGGAAGAGACCCTTCACAGAAAGCCCAATGGAAAGGGTGGTGAGTTGTCTTGACATGGAGCGCCTTTTGAACTTCAGGCCTATTAAGATAGGTAAATATTCTTCCTTCAAGGCATGGATCACCATTTTTTGCTCTCTTAGCAACCTGCCAAGTGTTCATATGCAAAAACCCAATCTCATATTGTTATCATAATACTCTGAATTAACGATCAATGTAATTCAAAATACCAAGACTTCTTGAGATATACAGCTGAATGTATCTTCCCGAGCTTTCCTTTAAGTTTAAGTTGCTCTGCATAGCTTGATGATAAGCAAGTTGGCAAGAGAAGGTCATCTAGTCCAACATCTACACCAACTTCATCTTCAACTCTATTGAATACATCATTGCATCCTTGAGACCATTTATCATGAACGTATTCTCGCAAATACTTTGAGTCATTGCATATTGTCTTCTCCAAGAACAGGGTTTCATCTGATATAGCACCATGTGACCACAAGAAGTCACCGGCCAATACACTGATGTCTAGGTCCAAAAGTGGATTTCCAAGCTACAAAAAAAATGGTTGGTTATTAAATTTGGACATAGAAATTAAAGATTCGCTTTCAGCTTAATTGTGAGATCAGATATCATATATATTACAGCAATGGCTTTGAGGTTGACTGGTTCGATATTAGGCTTCTTGTTGTGCTCCACCAATAAGGCTGCAAGCTGCGGGATGTAGTGGCCTACAAGCATTGTTTCAAAAGGAAAAAGAATTCTCTGAAACATTTTTAACGACATTATATATGTTTAATCATGAACAATATTTTCAATATACAGAAGACTTAACTGACAATAGAATAGTTACCTGCATAGCTTTCACCAGCTAGAAAGAAGTCAGATTCTTTGTATTGTGGAAATTCTTCCAGCCAGTTCAAAATAAACATCAAGTTATCTTGAGCTACCTCAATAAAAAATCGTGAATGAAGTCAAGTCCTGGGCGTTAGTACAGGATATTGTTATACAAGCTGAAGTAGTATTAATGATCAATAGGAAAATATCGAACCTGTCTGTGTATCATTCCACAGGTAATTCTTGCTAGTGTTTGAGTATGAAAACCCAACCCCAATTGGTGATTCCACGTATAACATATTCGACTCTATCCAAATTTTCAATTTAGGCAAAGATGAATGAATCTGTTACCTTTCCCAACATTCTATACTTAAATAAGCAACTTAAAATGTGAAGAATATTGTCAGGTTGATATACCCAAGTTCCAAGAATATTCATTCTTGATAAGAGTTCCATTTTCCCCTGGTTGGAATGGACCATGTTCCATGAACGCACCAAAGCCAAGAGAAGAACAACCAGGCCCTACATTAAACAATTAATAACATCAAGTTTTTAACACAAAACTTCATCTCAAAATTAGTACATTCTTAGAAGCTAGAAAAGTCAATAGCAAATATTTACTCTGTCCTTTTGAAGTAACATGCCATTCAAGAGTCATTGTACAAGAAAAAAATATTGCAAAAAGGAAAAATTTTCGTGTGTCATGATTATAGATAAAAAGACTTTTGGTTTGGCAACAAAATAAAACAACAGTAATGTTCATGAACTAAGATATGGAAAATAATTCTTCTTTGAACCTCCATTGAGCCACAAAGTCAAAGGTTTCAATTCATCTGTATTGGAATCGGCTTCAACAAAGTAGTAGAAAAGAGCTCTGCCATGTCTAGCATCTGTTACAATGTAGCCAGAATACTGATTAAAAGAAACATTCTTGGGTTGTCCTGGCAAGAAATGTATCAATTCAGCCCAAGAGTTAGAACAAAAAAGAAAGAATAGCAAAGAGAAGAAGCAAAGAGCCATATTGACAGAGTGATAATGTTTTTTCCTTTGGATTGACAGATTAGATTGTCAATATATATATATATATATATATATATATATATATTTATAAATTTTGTTTAAGGATTTGCATTGTAGGTTCAAACAAGGCCTAGGCTTAAGTGACAGCTTCTTGTTAAATCAGATGCTTTGTAATAAAATGACAAGAAATCATCTAAAACAATATTACAACAGTTCAAACATAAATTTCAATGTTTATACCTTAAATATGAAGACAATCCCACAGATGGCATTTGTTTTTGCAGGATGTAAGATCCCTTTAGCTGTAGCTTGCACAGCAACATGGTTGAATCTCCATCTTGTGTTTTTTTTTATCATTAATGCCTTTTACTTTAACTTATTCATTCTAATATATGTGCTGAGTAGAGAAATTGATGCCCATGGAAATGGATTTCTTTGTAAAACTCTTAATCACTTTCCATTGCCACCACTGCCTTATTTGGTCCCTCCAAACCTGAAAAGATTGTTAACTAAAAGAGTCTAATTTTTTTTATAGACAAGTCAGGACTAGACATATACATGAGTCGGATCAAGATCAGCTGATATTTTTAACATTTAGGCGACTTGCACATTTTAATTATATTTATTAGTAAAATATTTTAATAAATTAAATAATAATAATAATGTTTGAAGGTGGATGAGACCTAAGAAATCATGCTCAGAGTTCAAGCCAAGTAAGGTTCACGGGGTTGACAAGCAACCTGGCCCGTGGATAAGTTAAAGCAGGGACATTACTATTGTTGCATTGGATAAAAATGAACTCAACACAAACTTTTGTCTGGAATTAAATGTATTTATTTTATTTGGTACATACATTCCAAAATACTATTATTTTATTTTTCTATATAATTTAGGGTTTTCATTTAAAAGAAAATTATGCTTTTTATGTAACAGAAATATTAAACATGTATAGTACAACATCAAACAAAGCTTTTCATGGGAAGTTTATGTGTGTATCTATTGCAAATATTTAAATCTGTCCATGATCAAAATCTTGAACAATTTAAGAGTATTTAACTAAATTAGGCTAAATTTAATTTTTAACAAAATATTAAACATGCGGAGAAATTGTGACACAAAAAGGGTAGCAATAATCAATGGTGAATTATACAGGAGAGAATCATTGGTAATCGACAATGGGACAACATATGGAGAGAAATAGGAATCGGAGAGGACGGCCACAAGTCTTCTTTAATCGTTCAAGTTTTGGAGGTATTTTGTTTTCATCATCTTCAAGCTTCAAAAGGATTTCAATGATTGAGTTTTGATTTTTGATTTTAGAAAATCAAGTAAGTGACTTGATATTTCTTTAGTATTTTCATTCTCTTAAAATCAACTTTAATATGAATTTTACTATTATGTTGTATATATTATATTTTGTCTCTTGATTAGAAAGTGAATTTACTATTATATAACTATTAATAAAAAACTATAAATGTTCATTTCCTGAAGTAAATGTGACAAATGAGCTTCTAAAAAAAATTATGAATGTTCATTTCCTGAAGTGAGTGTGACAAACGAGATACTAATAAAAAAAATTATTAATCCGTGCATTCCCTAAAGTGAATGCGACATCATTATGGTCATAATCATAAATCCATCCATTTCTTGAAGTAAATGTAATATTATTTAATTATGATGGCCATAACAATTTACACTAATACTATTTTAATTATTATTTTACTACCAAAAGTGGATGGATATTTTATTATTTGAATTTAAAAATAATTTTACCACTAAAAGTTGATAGATAATTTTATCATAAAAAATAAATGGATGTCTATAATCCACCAGAAGTGGATAATTCATCATGTATGAATCACCCACCAAAAGTATATGTATACTTGTAACCTAACATAAATAGATAAATACTTTCAAAGTACCAAAAGTAGATGGATACCTCAATCCACTAGCCCACCAAAAGTGGATAACCCATCAAGAAGTGAATGAATACTTGTAATCTACCAGAAGTGAATAAATAATGAAAAGAATAAAATGAATACAGAAAACATATTGTTATTGATGTGGCGTGAAAGATCATTGATCACGCACCTGTTGTACGTCTTAAATTTTATCAAACATTACTGAAAATTAAAACATTTTGTGATAATGTTAATCATGGTCAAGTTTATATAGCACATGAAGATATTTGTCCTCCCTCAAAGAGGAATTGATTACATGATTGGCAATAAAATTATCTATTATTGATTTTCTTATCCTGAAAAAGGAATTGATTATTTGATTGGTAATAGAAATATCCAAGAATAAACTTAATAGTAATTAGTATATTTAGGATAATTATATTATGAACATGTTTTAATATATTTTTATTATATTTAAATGATATGTTCTTATTATGTGTTTTAATTCCATGTTTAATATTATTTTATGTT